TATGATTGGAACTGGACGAGATCCCTTTCAGGACGACTGTGGCACCATGCATAATTAGAAAACTGAAAAGAGATATTCATAAATATATGATTTGTTTTTTCGGTTTGTTAACCATTTGATAATTATTTAGAGCTGAAAAATATTTCGGGGTTAGGAATAATTCTTTAATTGCGTTCAGGCGATCTGGGAGAAAGAAAGAAAAGAAGAAGAAAAGGAAGGAAAGAAAAAAGAAAAATATAATACGAAAACCCGGTCATAAGCACACACGCTCAGCTGACACATAACAGGTGTCAAAAGATATCTACGTCAAAGTACCTGACCGAAATCCGCGAAAGATGGAAGTTGTTATCAATTGGTTGGAGAAACGAATTTTAGGGACAATGAAAAAAATATTGATAAGTAACAAATGAAAAGGGTGTCATTGAGATGATAGTAAAAGTCTAAGGGGGAGGGGAAGTTTATCTAAGGATATACAGACAATCCATTAATACGAGAAGCCAGACAATTTCTGGAGTTGGAAAAAGCCACCCAGGGTGATGTCGCTTTTTTGAGATAATACAGATTTTTATTATCGGCCGGAGGAGAATGAAATATTTTGTTGCGTTCAGAGAAACGCCGACAGGTCTAAGAAATTCTTTTCTTAGATCGTATCCAATTAGCGGTAGGCTGTTTGACAGATACCGCGTGTAAAAGAAACCGGGATCGTCATTTCAGTCACATACGAAAAGGACAATTTAAATTTTTGTTTTTTTAAGCAAGGTGTTTCTTCCCCCAGAACAAAGCCACGGATTGTCCACGCCCGATTAAAGACGTCACGAAGGAAGGAGGAAAGATACCGACCAGAGTCTCATTGGCCGAAGGCGGCCACATGATACATGAGGGAGGAGGAGAGACACCCGACCAGGACCCCATTGGCTGAGAGCGGTCACATGATGTGCGAGGGAGGAGGAAAGATGCCCGACCAGGACCCCATTGGTCGAGAGCGGTCACCTGACATACGAAGGACCAGGGGAAGCGGGTATACGCCCACCCCCAGAGGCACATTAAGGAAGTAGGAGTGAAAGTAAGTTACCGAAAATGGAAAATCCCTAATCAGAAATAATACCTTTAGAATTATCAAGAAAACCCTGGCGCCGACAGACCCACCCCAGTTTTTGACTGCCTCAATAAAAGCAGGACCCCAACCGACAGAAATCAGTTGGAGTTGCAGCGCGGACGGCGGGCCCTGTTCATTAGTCCCCTTTGCGGCAAGAGAAGCCGAAGTGAAGCAGCCCGTTTGGCCTAAGTGGAGAAGTTGGAACCAAACCAAGCCTAAGAAGAGAAATTCGTCCAACCCAAGTCGAAGTGAAGAAATTCGCCCAACCCAAGCCGAAGTGAATAAGCTCGTCCAACCCAATCCGAAGTGAATAAGCTCGTCCAACCGAAGCCGAAGAGAAGAAGTTAAATCGCGCACTGACGGCAGAGATGAGTGAACAATAATTCAGACTCTGAAGAGAGAGTTAGTTGCAGCCACGGACGGCGAGAGAAATCAGCCGTGAACGACAGGTAGAGATCAGCGCCCAGTGTTGAAACCAAACCACACCCCGAAATGCAAATTTCTAGAGAGTAAGCAACTCGAAGCCTTAAAGTTGTATGGTAGAAGCGTGGTGCCACGGTCCACAGAACGGGTCGGGAGGTAGGAATAATCTTGTGTAACGAACAATTAGATATAAAAAGTTGTTACCTTTTTCTTCAATATTTTTTGACCTTGTGAGTTTTATTTATCTTGTGTGTTATCACCCCGTTGGACTCTTGCATACAGCCCAATCCTGTTTGATCCCGTCTGTCTAAGATCTAATCACAACGTGGGTAGACAGACCGGAGATCAGTGTAGTTACCCTGGTAACCAGGCGTTGGAAGCGGGTTGAGAACAACGAGGCTGGTATTCATCTAGCCAAAGGGTTAGAACGTCAAACTTGGAGCAGCGAGAGGCGAACAGCTGGCGTCGCGAACGGGATCGAACGACACAGTCGACGCTGCGACCAGGGGGGACGACGTCACACGACTTTCATTTCACGATTTGATAGTTGATGGTTAGATTAAATCAAATAATCGTCCTGCCATACCGTAGCCCTGGTGCTTACGTTCAACGCGAGCATGTCAGACCCTGTCAAGCCCTTTCTAGATATCTAGAGCCACAGCCCGAGTTTTGTCGTTACTATCAATAGATTGATATGCATATTCAGTTTTGGCCGTAAGCACATCAGCAGTTGACGGGAAATACATACATACATATATATATATCATACTTATAAAACCCAGGTTGTGTGTGTGTCTGTTCGTTTATGTATTGGATCGGATTTCCTACATTTTTCAACCGATTTCAACAAAACTTCACTTTTTTTTGACAGGTAGTGTTTCTTATTGTCTTGCACACTTTTTTCTTTATTTTTACATTCAGAATGCTTTATAAAAATTCCATTTACAAGACAATTGTTTATAATAAAATTTTATTCAATCGGTAGACTCATAACGATTGAAAACAATGTTTTTGTTTGAGTTTGGGTTTGACCAATTCGTAAAAAAAAACAAAAAAAAAACAAATATATATATATATAGTTTTAAGGTGTGTTATATTTATGGGATAAATTGCTCAATATCAGAGATAGATCGTATATAAATATAAATATAAAAGTGAACATTGAAGTCAACACTAACAGGCGACAGGCTGTTTCATGCTAGACGATTGCGGCCTGACGATTGCGTCTAGCATGAAACAGCCTGTGGCCTCTGAGTGTTGACATCAATGTTCACTTATATATATATATATATATATATATATATATATATATATATATATATATATATATATATAATCCATCCAGACAGACTGTTTCGCAGCTCTTCAGTGTGGTTAGACGTTTGCCTCTAGCTAGATTGAAACGCGACTGAATTGGCGTCAGTCGGAGATTCTACCACTAAGATGTCGGGATGAAGGTGAATTTTAGAGTATTTATTTTTAGATAAACATACAGTGACCGACAGGATTCAATTCGCTTTTTTGAATATATATATATATATATATATATATATATATATATATATATATATATATATATATATATATATATATATATATATATATATATATATATATATATATATATAAAGGTTGTTATTTACCTGTTTCTATCGAACTGAATCGTTAACTCAAGTTAAAAGAGAAATTCTAATTGTGATTTTCGGTACAGACCAGTTTGGCTTTGCCTTTTTGATTTTTGGCTTCCATTTCTCTCCTCTTTGTACCTGATTAAGATAATATGGAAAATTAAAGGTAACGATGGAATAAAAGGAGAACAAGGCTGTTCTTTCAACGTCCTTATCTCGAGTTTTATTTTGCTTCTTTTACTCTCGCGTGAATCTGGACGACACCATGAGAATCCAATGCAGCTTTGATGAAAGTAAACGTTGCCGAGGTCTTATGCTGCGTTTTGATATGTAGGCCAAAATGATTCAAGTAAATTCCGAATGGTTCATATCTGGTTTTGAATTCTTCAGATGATTTTACCATTTTTTTCTTTTGACTTATTAACCATTTCTGTTCTCAGACAATAGAAACCGAATAATGCATTTTGTTTATTTTCAATTTTCATTCAATCCAATTTTCATTCATACAATTTTCATTGAATAAAATATTCATTCATTCAATTTTCCTTCAAATCAGTTTTCATTCATTCAATTTTCATTTAATTCAGTTTTCATTAATTCAGTTTTCATTCATTCAATTTTCATTCAATTCAATTTTCATTCATTCAATTTTCCTTTAAATCAGCTTTCATTGATTCAATTTTCATTTAATTCAGTTTTCATTAATTCAATTTTCATTCTTTCAATTTTCATTTAATTCAGTTTTCATTAATTCAATTTTCATTCATTCAATTTTCATTCAATTCAATTTTCATTCACTCAATTGTCCTTCAAATCAGCTTTCATTGATTCAATTTTCATTTAATTCAGTTTTCATTAATTCAATTTTCTCTCATTCAATTTTCATTCAATTCAATTTTCATTCACTCAATTTTCCTTCAAATCAGCTTTCATTGATTCAATTTTCATTTAATTCAGTTTTCATTAATTCAATTTTCATTCATTCAATTTTCATTCAATTCAATTTTCATTCACTCAATTTTCCTTTAAATCAGCTTTCATTGATTCAATTTTCATTTAATTCAGTTTTCATTAATTCAATTTTCATTCTTTCAATATTCATTCAATTCAATTTTCATTCATTCAATATTCATTCATTCAATTTTAATTCAATTCAATTTTCATTCAATTTTCATTCAATTCAATTTTCATTCATTCAGTTTTGGTTCAATCTTTACTTATTTTATTCTTTCTCTCAATTCTTTTTTTTTTTTTTTTTCACTTTCATCTTTGGTAATTGTCATTTCTCGACAATTTCTTTGATGTTAATATCAGATTCAGACAAGAAATTCAGCAGAAAATACGGTTTTAGTCTGTCGACACTTCCAGCCTCGCTTCAAACCAAAAGAGAAAACAGAATAAAAGAAAAACATAGACTGAAATAAGAAAATATAGTAAAATAGAAACAATTGTTAAGAGATTAAAAAAAATGTATATGGTAGGCAACGAAATTGCAAAACGTACTGACATTTGAAATTATATGGATTTGGAAAGAGAGTGATAGGGAAAAAATATGTTAATCAATAGGAGGAAAATAGAACGGTGCCAATCAGAAGATATTTGGAAGAAAAGAAAGAATAGAAAGGGAATCAAAAGAAATTTTGGAAAAAAAAAGGATTAAAGAGTAAAAAATATATAAACAATGTGAATGTACACTAGTGTGAAGAAAACGAAGAAGAAGAAGTAGGAATGGAGGTAGAGGAGAAGGAGGAGGAAGAAATGAAGGAGAAGGAAAAAGAGTAAGTGGAAGCTAGGAGGAGGAAGGAGGAAGAGGAAGTCGGGGAAGAGAAAAGGGAAGACGAAGAAAAATAAACAGAAAAAGACGAAGAAGAAGAAGTGAAGGAGGAGCAAGTTGATGTGGAAGAGGAGGAAGAAGAACAAGTGAAGGAGGAGAAAAAAAAGAAGAAGAAGAAGAAGAAGAAGAAGAAGAAGAAGAAGACGACGACGACGACGAAGAAGAAGAAGAGGTAGTGGAGGAGGAGCAAGATGAAGAATTGAAGGAGGAGGAAGTAGTGGAGGAGGAGGAGAAAAGATAAGCTGAAAAAGACGAAGAAGTGAAGGATAGAAGAAAGAATGGGGAGGAGGAAGTGGAAGAGGAGGAGGAGGAAGACGAAGAAAAATAAACAGCAAAAGACGAAGAAGAAGAAGTGGAGGAGGAGGAGCAAGTTGATGTGGAAGAGGAGAATAAAGAAGTGAAGAAGAGAAGGAAGAAGAAGAAGAAGAAGAAGAAGAACAAGAACAAGAACAAGAAGAAGCAGACGACGGCGACGACGACGAAAAAGAAGAAAAAGAAGAAGATGCAAAAAAAGACGTAGAAGAAGAAGTGGAAGTGGAGCAAGATGAAGAATTGAAGGAGGAGGAAGAAGTGCAGGAGGAGGAGGAGGAGAAAAGATAAGCAGAAAACGACGAAGAAGAAGTGGAGGATGCACGAGTGAAAGATGAGGAGGTGAAAGAAGTGGGGGCGGAGTAGAAGGAAGTAGCAAAAATACGAAGAAGCAAAAGAAGATGGCCATCAAACTTCGGAGAGCCGAGTTCGAATTCCAGTCAAATCCATTAAATTCATTTACATGCTAATACACTTGAAAAAGTTATGACTCATCTTCTTCTCCCCGCACCTCCAGCTATGGGTAAATTGCAGGATGGATCAAGTTCAATAGCTTTGGATGGCAACTGGTCTGCCGCAGAAAGAAATGGCGACCTACTGCAGGAAAAAAATCTGCGTCGCCTAAGTGTGTATCACACATGGCACATGACTGACTGATTATGAGATAGATAGATAGATAGATAAGAAAATATAAGATAGCTAGACGGTTATACATATATATAGACAGACAGAAACAAACGATGATAAATAGATAGATAGATATGAAGAAAATTTGATAAATTGATATGAACACACTGACACACTAGGAGAGAAATACTGCGCATATTTTTCTCATAAGATTTTTCAAATATTCAGGCCGGTAGATGTAAATAAATAAATGTATTGTTTATTAAATAAATAAAAACGGAGCATCGACTCAAATATCCATTAAAATATGGTTTAAACAAAGAAATATATATATATATATATATATATAGTGTGTAACCCGGATATAAGAGACCAGGATATAAGAGAAACCCGGATATAAGAGAGATTTTCTCTGGTCCCAAATTAGAGCCTGTGTTAATGTATATATAATAAACCAAACACGGATATAAGAGAAACCCGGATATAAGAGACTTCTTCTCCGGTCCCGACAACTCTCTTATATCCGGGTTACACTGTATATATATATATATATATATATATATAATCGACTCTCCCGTCGCGTTCGACGTATGAGGGTCAGGCCGATAAGTCCCCAGGAAACCGACGTCCCGACACCGGCACATGAGATTTGTTTATAGTGGTGAAGACCTTGTGCAGGACCAGCCACACTTTTTGGAGGGACGAATACAGAAACCTGGTGCACCGAATACATGCCACAAGGTTCCCAAACGGTGGAGCAGTGGTTAGCGGCTTGGATTGAGGAATCGCAGAGCCGAGTTCGAATTCCAGTCGAATCCACTGCATTCACTTACGTGCTAATACCCTTGGGAAAGGTATGTATCCTCTTCATCTCCCTCCAGCTATGGGTAAAATAGCAGGACAGACTGGGTTCTATAGCCTTGGATGGCAACTGGTCTAGGAGAAGGACAACTCTGAATTCAAAACCTGCGGATATATATATATATATATATATATATATATATATATAAAACTACTGAAATAGATATGAAGAGATATAGATAGACAAATATGAACAATGTGATAATATATATATATATATATATATATATATATATATATATATATCGAAGAGATGCAAGGTAGTGCCGAAACACGAAAGAAAGATAGATAGATATAAACAAACTATTAGAGATATTAAGAAACTGAGATAGAGAGATGGATAAAAATAGAGAGAGATGAACATACTGGGATAGATAGATAGATAGATAGATATGAAATAACTGAGATCGATAGCGAGAAGTGATCTGATCCTTCAATAAGGAAACGACCATAAATTCAATGAAAGTTTAAATAAGAGGAATGGATAATGTCTATAGAGACCGTTATTTGCCTCCAACGATTTACGGTCTTGGATCTTCAGAGAGTCTAATCTAACAATCGAAAATTGCCACCCACCCACTTCCCCTGATTTAGATTCACCAGTTCAGAAGTAATCATCAGAAAATTAAAAAGAAAATTAACAACAAACTTTTTTTTAGCTTTTCATACTTCTTTTAATTTGGAACTTTTACTTCACCTAAGCAATATCCTCAAGCTGAAAACATTTTTTTTTTTTTTTTGGTGGTGGGGGGGACTTCATAGAAGAAATATCCCGCAGCAAATAACGCTCAGGATGATTATCTCGCCATATCTCGTCCGCTCTCGAGGAATTTTCAGTGCAAGAAATCCTCGCTATTCCGTGCGCTATGCGTCTTTACAATTCGTAAGAAAGGTTTAAATATCTGCAAAGCGTATTAACAAAAAAAATAGAAAATTTAACAGCGAAATGCAAAAGTCTATTTAAACAGAAGTTGCATTAAAAAATCGACAAGAAGAAACTGAAAAATTTCGTTACGAACAGATTAAAGAGAGCATAGTGATATCAGTTTTCCAATATGGCAGTGAATGTTGGGCAGTCTAATCACACATGATGAAGAGACTTGAGGCAACAGAAACATGGTACTGAGAATACCATCGATGAGGAATGGCCAAACTTGCTTCATATAAAAGCAACATGCAATAAAGTTCAGAGGTTTGGGAACCGCAAAATATGAACAAATTTTACCCATACGTTTTTATTACATACTTACGTTTCATTCTAATTCATACCCAGTAAATAATAAGACTTGATAATTTTCTTATTTACCTTTTATATTAATTATGATGATGATGATGATGATGACCACCATCGTCATCACCCCCTTGACCTTTGTAAACGTAAGTGGGGCGGTGGATACGAATGCAGAAGCCATATTGAATCTTCTCCACCTGGGTATGACGATCAGCTACATCCACGTCCTGGGTAAGACGATAAACTACATCCAACTGCAAGGCCTCTGATCAGGAGGTTTTGAGGAAAATGGAACCACCTCTTAATTGTTGGTATTCCCACATCTGCTCTCACCCGGGGCGGTAGCACCTGTTAGGGTCCTAACTAAGGGTAAAGAGCTAACCCCAAAACTAGGTTTAACCCCCTTTTTTGACGAAAACTTATTCCAGCAATACATTTTTGTAAATAACTATTATCAGCCATATATTATTATCAGCAATACATTTTTTAAGAAAAATAATATTAACAGCAATAACTTTTCGTAAAAAAAAATATTACCAGTAACGTATATATTTTTAAAAAAGATATTACCATCAATAAAAATCTAGTTGGCATTAAATAACCCATTGATGTTAATACGCCGTAAAACAAACCTAACCAAACCAAACCACTGTAACATCTTCCTCCCGAATGTAATCGAACCTTTATTCTGTTTTTTCCCCATCATGTAAGCCTTTCTTTTCGACGTAGATTGTTGACGAATATTACTTAATTAGAAGAATATTTGTGCTACTTTCTTGTCTTGTGGTTGAGACAGTTATCGATTTCTACCTCACCTTACAATCTATGTCTCTGTTTAATCAAAGATAAAACCAAAATGTCTGAAGCTGATTTACCTGAAAGAATGACGCTATACATTCTTCTTTCGTTCTATTATTCATAGAATTATTCTAATCTAAATTCAGAAAATAGCGGGCAATTCAACAAAAAAAAAAAAAAAAAAAACTCGTGGAATAATCACCGTAATCTATCAAGAAAAAAGTTGCAAAAATGAAATTAAATAAATGAAAATTAAATCAGAATGCAGCACAAGACCACACCCAGCAAACGTAATCTTTAGTTGTTTATATAAGGAACCCAAAATAAAACCGAAACTAAATCCGAAGCCTCCATCTTTACCCTAGTGATATATTATATCAGGCTTTTTCAAACTGTGGGTCCCGACCCTTCAATGGGCCACGAGATAATTAAAATGGGTCGCAAGTGAGAGCAAAGTGCAGAATATAAACAACTCTTAATGTTTTACAGCACTCATAAATCAATAAATCATCGCTAGTTTTTCACTGAAGTAAGGTTGTATTATATTTTAAATATAAATATATATATATATATATATATATATTTATATATATATATATATATATATATATATAAATATAATTATATATATATATTTATATATATATATAAATATAATTATATATATATATATATATATAAAGATAGATAGATAGATAGATAGATAGATAGATAGATAGATAGATAGATATGTTTTCATTCAGTTTGTGTATCTTGTTCGTCAAACTATAGACTGAGTGACGTCAGTTCTCTCATAAAGAGACTTCACGCGAAAACTTAGCTACAAAAGTGTGCAGTGCGTTCGTCTGTGTGGCTGGTGAAAACCGTTAAGATTATTGAATTCAGTTGTATCTGAAGAAAGTGCGAAAAGCAAATTTTCTGATTCAATGTCGATATCGAGTATCATTCTTTCTGTGATAGTAAGATGTATTGTGTTCATTTGAAGTCTCGAAATTTTCGGTGAGTTGACTGTCGTTCCGATGAAATTTAAGTATGGGCTAGTGTTTTTTTTTTTTTTTTGCTTCTGCCTGTAATACTTGTTACCTTTGCTATTTGAAGATTTCAGAAGCAACTCCAATAATGGATCGTTATATCATTCGAAAAAAGAAGAACGATGAAGAAACAGGAGGACCATCAACATTAACAGATACATTTGAAAAAGCAACATTAATTTACGTTGTTAAAATGATAACCTTATCAAGCAACCGTTGACTTTTTTTTTGGGGGGGGGGAGATCAAAAAAGATGATAGTAACAAATCCTCATAGAGAGGAATACTTGCAATATGGTTGAAACCTTAAATATTATTTATTTTGCCTTTCTGTTGGAATTTTCTTTAAATTCCATTTTCTCAAAGTAATAATTTTATATTTATACAACTAGATGGTATTTATCAATTCACCCACAGGAATTGAATGTGGCACAAAGCCTTTTTAATGTGGGTATGTCTGAGCCCGTAGGCCCAGCCAAAAATAAAACCCATCTAAACCCGACCAAGCGGGCTAGTTCCGTCAACCTCCCCGAACGAAACCCCACCCTTCGGCGGAGCTTCGTCCGGGTTCCTCTCTGCAAGCAGAGAGTTCGACAGACACCCGACCCGGCAGCTCACAAAGCGCAGATACTACACTTTGATCCTAGCCACCGGGCCGAACATGCAATGCCAGTATGAACGGATCCTAAGAAATATACATATAAACTGTCGATGCTAAATAAATGAATCGATTGAACAGAGTTTGTCTTATTACACGTAGCTATAATGTGCCGCAATACGAAATGTTTGAAAAACACTGAATTATATAATACCATCAATTCAGAATCAAGTGATCTTTAGCCTCAGACATAACGGACTTTGCCAAAAACTGTTCTTCCTATAAGATCACCGGAGTATATCTGTTTATGTAACCAAACAACATGACATTATTCTACCAGAAATACTACAACAATCTTCTGAATATGTCTCTATGAAAACAACTTATTCTCAAGTAATTTTAGTGTTATTTTTATTTTTTTATTTAGGCTAATTATCGTCTCGGGTTAACGTTTTCCACCGCCATATAGTGGCAAGAGTATATTGAATCAGTCACTAAGTCTGCAACTAGGAAAGTTGGTTCGCTGTGCCATTGCTAAACAATTTTTTATCGCCAGAATCTACCATACATATTTATCATTCCGCCGTGTTTTCAGTATTGATGACACGTCTGATCTGGGGCTCCTGTTGTATATTTAAAGATTCTTGATAAAACCCAAAGAAGAATCTGCAGTGTCATTTCATTTGTTCTGACTTGACATCTCAGCTTCAGTCACTTTCTCATCGCCGTAACGTAGCTTCGCTGTACCTTTTCTATAAAATCCAGAGACGGATATGCAATATTATTGGTCCTCATCTGTCATCTCGTCCTACAGTCACTTTCTCACAGACGTGCAGTCGCTTCCCTCTGTCTTTTATTCAAATACTTTCACAGTAACTGCTCTGACGAGCTACTTTCGCTGATTCCCAAACTGCATGAATTTAAAAGTGCTACTAGGTTGGCATATCGGTCCCACCCTTTCACTGTCGATATGGTTAAATGTAGTCGTATCTTCTACTCCAACAGCTTCATGTCTCGCACTTAACATCTGATGAACTCCTTTCCTCTTACTTGCTTCCATGGTGATGCTTCAATTATTCAAATGCAATGTTAATCAACATCTTCAGATGTCTTGATCTAAATGCTGTCCTTCTCTTCAGCCTTTCCTCTTTCACGCCTCTTTACTCTTGCTCCTTGTAACCCCTTGCGTACTAGTGGCACTCTCGCCATGCATGGGGTGAAATGCTTAAAAATTTACTTTCATGGAAATAGTTTTGATGAACTTGTCTCTTCTTAAAAGTTGTTATTTTATTCTCCTCCTGACAAATTGTACTTATGGGAACTAGCTACGGTTCATAGAGACTCTGGGGTATTAAAGTGACTGTAGGAAGGATGATTTGTTGTTTTGGTGTAAGGAATACAGTGGTATGTTTGGGTCAGTAATTGTTGCTAGCTAAGTTTAATTATAAGACAGACGAAACCAGCCTTCACCGTACACTCCATTTGGCCTTGTGCCACATTTTTGTATTTACACTATTTACCAGTTTCCTCAGTGTTACCTTGGCTTTATGAATGTAAGAGCAGTACTAGATTGGAAGCAAGGTCTCGTCATTTTACAGTGGGAATGGCTAGATATAACCGTAAGTTCTATGCTAATAGATTCTTCTGTTGCACATCTCGGTTGTGGATTTCTCCTCCGGCTTCTTTCTTCCAAGTCAACTTTGATCTTCAACATTTTAAATGCAATGTCAATCTTTATATTCTGTCTTCTTAATACTTGTTCTTTTATTGTCCTTTCTCTGTAACATTTAGCACTC